CATTTCAATTTCTTTCAGAATTATATGTAAGAACTGACATCTCAGAATATTTAATTAATGATAATAATACTTTATAATTTTATAAATAACACTGAGTCTCTCACTCTAAATTCTTACACACTCAGATAATGCAAGAGATGCATAATTTATATATAACTGATTATTCAGGTCATGAACAACTGTATAGAATGATCTCTTAAGAGTTCTATTAATCTGAGATATTAAACAGTATCAGATACTTCATTTAAAACTGCAATCACTGTTCTTTCATTATCTTATGAAAGAATTATAGAAAAGATCTACTGAAATTACTCAATATTTCTGATAGAATCTGATAAGATGTAGTAATTAACTTCACTATCAATCTATTTAAGAGTAAGAGTTATAGAAACATTCTGATTATTGTGAATTAATTAAGTAAAGATGTAATATTAAAATCTTGTAATAAGATAAATGCTGAATAAGTCACTGAAGCTTTTCTACAGAGTCTGTTCTATCAGATGTATGAATTACTGAGATTTATAGTATCAGATCAGAACTGTTAATTTGTGAGTACTCTCTGAACTAGAATCTGTCAAGTTCTCAAGATTATATATTATCTGTTAACTGTCTATCACTTCAAGACTGATGATGTATCAGAATGAATAATTCAGACTGTAAAAAATTATCTTTATAAGTTCTATAATCACTTATAAGATGATTGATATAATCTTCTTCTACATGCAGAGATCACTATTAATAATCAAGATACTGTTTCAATAGATATAAGTCTGTTCTTTCTTATATATAAATATCACATGAAAGTGTTGAATTTTCTAGAGATTACACAGTTTACACTGAATTCTCACAGTTCAATTCAGATTATTAATAATATAGTAACAAAGCTCTGAAATATCTGTAATTAAGCAGAGATCTTCATAATAACTGTGAAACAAGATTAAGAGAATTAAATCAATGTTCACTGAGATCTCACTGAACAATATAAGATAGAAGAACTAATATGATTAAATCTTAAGAATATATGAATCATACATTCATCTTATACACTAGATTATCATTATATTAGATATAAAGTAATAGAAGTTCTAGATAGTTATAACTACTATCTTGATACATTATTAGAGATTCATGATATATTTTATACAAGCTTACTCTGCTGTATCATCACTGATTCATTCTCTTCTCAGCTGACTTCTGACTGACAGTCACCAGACATTATAGAAGAAGATAATGAGCTTGAGTAAGAGATTGAGAATATTCTCAATAAGAGATCTCACAGCCGCAGCTGATAATATCTTATGAAATGAGTCAGCTATAATCAACTGATCTGAACTCTGAGTTTCATATTATTTAAAACAGTGACTCTTGATCAACGAGAACTGCTTCTGAAAAGAGAGGGCTAATGTGACAGGCTGTACCTGATCAATTATATAGACTATTCTATTACACTTCATAGATTCTTCCATTTCTGATCACTGATCCTCAGCTGCTATGAACACATGTAATATACACTCTGATTCTCAGCCATTTCTGATCATCAATTCTCGGCTGCTACAAACACGCGTATATTCTTCCGCTCTGAAGCTCCACCGCGTACACCACCACATACATGTATAAATATTCATCTTAATCACTGATTCTCACACTTTCTCTTTCTTTCCTTCTTTAACATTTTTATCTTTGTTAAATAAGATCTATCAATATAATATCAATCTATTCAGTGTAGACTTCTTACAGTGAACATTCTTAAAAAGAGTCTGTAAAGATTGAAGATTTTGAGAATTAAGTAGTTTATATAATATATTCTTGTATATGAGAAGCTGAAATAACACATGTAAGATTTAAGTGTTAATGAAGTGAGCAGCTATATCAGTTAACATAGCTTAAATAATTGAGATTGAGACATCTTGAGTCTCTGCAAGATTTTGAAGAGTTATAGATAAAATCATAATCAGATAAGTTTTATCAGTGTTATCTTCACTATCTAGATTAATTAGTAAAGAATCCGAGAACTCACTGTTAAGAATCTCAGTATAATAATAGAGAATAGTATTATAAAGAAGATATTAATCAGAGTTTTAAGTCTTGAGTGAGTCATATTTATAAAGAGTAGTATCTGTAGAAAAGTCAGTCTTTATATTATTTTAAAATTCTCTATTAAGATTGATATAAGTGTCAATATAAGAGCTTCAATCATAGTTGAAATCTAAGAACTGATGATCAAGCTGTTCACAGTTTTAAATATCAATGAGATTATTATTATCATACTATGAGTTTTGATAAATAAGTAATACTTAAGAGAGATTAAGCTTCTCTTCATTATTCTGATTAGCTTTAAACTCAGGTTCTGATTCTGATATGTCTTCATCATAGACATTAACTAGGTGATTATAAGAAAGACAGTTATAATTAAAGATCTCTGTAAAAAAGAGTCAAGAAGTGAGAAGATTAACAATTTTAAGATCTTTAATTTGATGAAAAGAGTGATAAAGAAGAAGTTTGATATAAGTATAGTTCTCTGAATCAGTTTTAAATCAATAAACAGAAAAGTAAATCAATACTCAGAATTTTATACAGAGATATCTTTTAATTTAATAACTGTAAGAAAAGATTTGAAGAAATTTAAAAAATGAAAGATCTTCAAATTCAGTTGACTGCTATTTATATTTTTTTAAAAAGAATAAATCATATTATAATTTATCAGATTCAAGAATATAGCTATAATAATATTAAAATTCAGACTGATAATCAACTGTAATTAACTCATGAGAACTTATTTATAAAGCAAGATTTAAAAGAAGATGATAAATCTTCTGAGTAGATTAATCATACTTATTAATGAGCTGATTTATAAGTTTAACAACTGCAGAGAGTAGTGAGTGACTTGAACTGACTCTTGAAATTATTTATTAAATAATCTAATGATAGAATTCTGTGTCTGTTTCAGCCTTGATAATATACTTAGACAGATAATCAAGAACAGCATAGCTGTCAGTGTAGAAAGCAATATCAGTATTTACTAGTCAGCTAACTGTAATCAATCTGTTATTATTATTGAGAATTGAGTTATTACAATGAGAATACAGCTGATAATATCTACTACTTAAAGATTTAAGAATAGCACAGTCAGTCTGACATTTATATGAAAAGTGAAATCAATAATATAGATTATCAGTGACTTAGTGTTTATGAATACAGTACTTTTCACTACAGTGATAATATTAAACACAGTTAAGAACTGTAGATAAATATTCAATGATATTCATCTAATCAGAATAACTAAGAGAAAGAAATAACTATATATCTTCAGACTAAGTGTGATTAGACTCAGAATTCTCAGCTGTAATAATGAGATCTCAGTAGTCAGCAAAGACTTAACAGAAGTCTTCATTTATATCAAGTTCAGAATTCAGTGTATTCTTACATTAAAATACACTATGTGAGTGCACTGATCTATGATCTTGTCACTTATAACAAGTGCAGTGATCTAGAATTTTGAATTTCAGATCTAGAATCTTTTTCTTAAAGATTGTAAGTTATAGATGAAAGTAATGAAT